TCCTGCAAAAAAGTTAAGTGGAAAAAAAAATAAACAAATAATTAAATAAGTAAATATTTTGAAAAAATTGTCAATTAGTAAAAAGCAAAAACAAAATGAATAAAAATAACAAAAAAAATAATAATAAACAAAATAAAATCAATACAAATTATAAAAAACAAAGTAAAAGATAATAAGATAACTAAAAATTTAAAAAAGCAATACATAAATAAAGTGGTAAGAAAGAAAAAATTAAATCTTTATATGTTTGAATATGTGTGTTTGCCTATTATGCCTGAGTCAGGGATGCTGAATGTTTGCTTTTTAAACCCCAGTGCCCAAACTAAAACGCAATACCAAACCTATTTTCAGTGTTGGCATTTTGATAAATAAATTGATTTTCCATCGCAGCTTGGGGACTCGGGCTCAAAAATGTTAGCCATCACTGTCCTAGGAGATTGTAAACTAGCCAAGACGGAGGCGCAGGTCTATGTGCATGAAACTGAGTGCACCTAATTATGTGAATGTTTTTATATTTCTATTTTTAATAAAGAGTCTTTTATTGTTTTATCCAATATATAATTTTTTTTTATACCAGTGAGTCATACAGTATAAAATAGAGATTCCATAACCGAGAAGATAAATCTGTTTAGACTCTTAAAGGAGAAGTATTGGGAGAGTGAAATGCCCTCGTCCCCATAGTTAGAGTCCATGTGTGACACTGCAGCTGTCACACGTCGCCTCTATATACTGAGAGCCGAGAGATGGTGTGATGCTGATTGCTCAGCTCACGGCCTACTCCCTGTGTGTCAGTCACCGTCCTCCGCAGAGATTTCCCCCCGGACAGGGGAGGGCTAGAGGGGCAGAGCCAGCCAGTCAATCAGGTAGCGGGGTGGATCTTTCCTGGCTGCAGAGCGCCTCTGAGATGTCAGCATATAGGGGCAGTAGCATTTTGCAGAGTTTTGGGGTCACAAGAGGACAGTAAACCTGCGGTTAGGGACAGATGTCTGACCCTGGATTCAGACAGATTGCGTCCAGGGTCAGACATCTGTCCCTAATTGCAGTTAACTGCTGGATGTTCGGATACATGCGAACATCAGCGAACAGCCACGGCTCCTGTCAGCCTGTCATTGCTTTGTCTAAGTTTTCTAGCTGCAGCTTTTCACATACACCTCTGATTCCAGCCACAGGAATCGGCTGTGCAGCCCTAATTGCACATGTGAATGAGCCCTAATAAAAAGCTTCCTGAATTTCTAAGTAGCATCCAATTTATTATTATAAAATAATAATGATACTGATATTAGAGTTTTATGTTGTGTTAGCTGAGCGGACTGGATTACTTACCTGTGCACCAGCAGCAAGCAGCAGCTTTACACACTGAATGTGGCCTTGAAGACAAGCTTCATGAAGAGGAGTTATGGAGTCCACAGTAACCAAGTTCACACAGACGCCGCTGTCAATCAATTGCTTCAGCTGGTGGACCTGGCCATTTCTGCACGCATCATGAACTGGTGTCCTGTCTGCCCAATTACCTGAGTGAGGAATCAATAATAATATCAATACAAATATAAACCACACATAAAAAAAGTCTGGTCTGTAAGAAGAAAATACAAAATATGGCACTGAAGGTAAGGGTAAAAGTTTTCAACAGAGATATCTCTTCCGATGACATATAGCAAAAGTAGGATTTTACTTTATGGAGATCTGCTTTCACTTCCTGTTGTGTCTCTAGGAGAGGATGTGGGGGGAAATCAGGGGTAGGCAGCCTTAGCACTCCAGTTGTTGGGAAACTACAAATCCCACCAGGCACCGCAAGACTCTGATAGTCACATGCATGACTGCTAGAGTCAGAGACACAATGGGATTTGCAGCTTCATTACAGCTGGTGTGGCAAGGTTGCTGATCCCTGGTGGGGATTCTTTCAAACAGCGAGGCAGAGAGCAAAAAAGAAAACAGCTTCTAACCCTGCCTCAAACTGTCCCAAGAGAAAAAAGAGGTTTCGGCTGAAGTTCGACTCTAAGGGCTAGTGTACATAGGCATATGAGGTCAGCCTGAGATCAGTTTCTATGGAAATAAAATGAATCACCACCACACTCCAGGCTTACGCAACGGAATAGTTAGGAATTCTGACCTTCCCTTCCTGCTACTGTGTGTGTGGCTGTTTTTACAACTTCAAAAGTTTTTCAGAAAGGAACCGTTTGCTACTGTTTTTGGCTGTACTCCAGGAAGTTATAAAAAAAAAACCTCCCCTCACCACAAGGGTTAAATGTTAATTGTTGCCTAGAGGCAGAGGAATAAGGTGTAATACTTGCATCAGGCTTCCTCCATCTCTCCGACTGGTCCCCCCCCCAAAGCCTCTTCTTAAGGCACTCCTGTCAACAGTCACACATTGACATCATCAAGTTAGGATCGCGACGGACCACCCACAACATGGAGTGTCAGATTGAAGAGGAGAGTGCCGAAGCATATCTCTACATCTACATCCCATTGGCAGCTGAGAAACCCCATGCGTCGCTGCACCAAATTGGTAAAGCAAAACAAACGACAAACGCACTCAACAATTTGTTACCAGTTATACAGTAAGGTGCACACGAAATGGGCTTTGAACAGCGACAGGCCTGCACCCAATTTGAGACTCTCATAGTTTAGAGTTAGGACCGCACTATAAGAGGTGCCTTGGCGCGGCAGTGCGGCTTACACATCCTTTGCAGAAGACGTGTATCCAAACCTCTGTCATTGTCCTTAGTGGTGAGACAAGTTGTTTTACATGCTAGTTTGTGAGTGTGCCATGATGCCTTTCTATTGTCTCTCTCTCTGTGCCAGCTGTACCCTCCCCCGTCCGTTCTGCCAGTCAGCGCTGGCGGATCGGAGGGGGGAATCCAGCCCCTCCCCTGTCACGGCAAAGAGCCGTGACAGCATAGAGTGGTGAGCAAACGCCGGTGTGCGTTCGCTCACTTCCCGATCTACTGAGCCGACCTGTTTCATTGTCACAGGTCGGCTAGAACTATGAGGTGAGTGAAAAGCATCTCATAGTTCTCCTTCAAATTCCAACTCCACGAAATCTAAAAGCTCCCCTTGCAGTGGGGCTGCCCCCAGATGGCAAGGGTTAGGTGCTTGCTTATACCTAGGGGACAGAAAAAAGCTGCTTTACTTACCTGATCCCTGATCCTACCCGTGCCCTCTCCAGTCCCAGCAGCCTCTTCTCCCCCTTCCCTCCGGCTGTCTAAGGACTGCTTATGTCATCAAGTACAATGCAGGATCCATAGCCCTACATTGTATGTAAGGACTCCTAGGGACAGTCCACATCTGGAGAACAGGAGGATAAAAGCAGAGTTCTGACTGCCGAGGAAGTGGGGATCAGGTAAGTAAAACAGCTTTTTCCTGTCCCCTAGGCATAAGCAAGCAGGTAACCCTTGAAGCAAATATATTTGAAAAGGTTGCATTGGAAAAAGAACAAGAAAGTGTTTATTTTTTTTCAGCAGGTTAGCTTTAGAGATGAACATGATTTTGACCCAGACCCTGCTTGTTCAAAGTTTGGCGATTGGCCGAACAAACTGGCGGTATTTGGACAATTTGCCTGCCCAAACTTCAGGCTTCAATTGAATACCATCTGCGGATCTGGTGATCATTTGGTGGTGGTAGCATTACTGCTGCTAAATGACAAATCCCTGTCCGGCTTCTGTTTGTAAACACACTGGCTGGGAACCCTAGTTGACATCAATTACCAGATATGGTCACAGGCATTTTTGGTCAATGATGTCACCCAGGATTTCCAGACATCATCAAGTGGCGGATCATTGTGATTGATGAGGATCTACATGACTGGATTCACATCAGGGCATATTTTTTTTTATTAAAGAACTTTTTCACGGTGTGTGTGTTGTTATTTTTTTTTTCAGTGGTACATATTAGGGATGCACCGATACCGATACTAGTATCAGTGCCGATGCCGATACTCATACTCGCCCAAATGCTCCGATGCCTAGCCCGATACCTGAGCTTCCGGTATCAGGAAGCCGGGCAGCGAGTCAATACACCAAGTGACGAGGAAGCATGGAGCCGGCTTTCTGGCCAATCAGGAAGCAGGGCTCTGTGCAATGACTCGTTGCCCGGCTTTCTGATTGGTCGAAGTTGACCAATCAGGAAACTGGGCAATGAGTTAAGAGTCACCAAGTGACAAGGGAGCCGGCTCCCTGGCCAATCAGGAAGCCGGGTAGCGTGTAATGACTCGCTGCCTAGCTTCCAGATTGGTCCGGAAGCTGTCCAATCAGAAAGCCGGACGGCGAGTCATTACCTGCCCCCACGGCTTCCTGATTGGCCAGAAAGCCGGCTTCATGGTTCCTCGTCACTTGGTGACGAGGGAGCATGGAGATGGCTTCCCGGCCAATCAGGAAGCTGGCCGCCGCGTAAAGACTCGTTGCCCGGTTTCCTGATTGGCTAACCTCGACCAATCAGAAAGCCAGCATTACACAGCGCCCAGCTTCCTGATTGGCCAGAAAGCCGGCTTCATGGTTCCTCGTCACTTGGTGACGAGGGAGCATGGGAATGGCTTCCATGCTAATCGGGAAGCCGGCTGACGAGTCTTCACACACCGCCCGGCTTTCTAGGTATTCAGGAAGCCAGGTGGCAAGTCATTATACGCCACCTGGCTTCCTTAATGGGACTTCTGGTATCAGTATTCAGTATCGGTGAGTACCGAAGAAAAAAATATTGGTACTCAGTACCGAAAAAACAGTATCGATGCACCACAAGTACATATCCCCCATAGAGGTGCCCAGCTACCCATTCACTTTTTTAACTATAGCTTGAAATTAGCCTTTAAAAATGCCAGAAAAATAAGAGCAAGTTTCAACTCCCATAGACTTCAGTAAGATTTGGCAATATGATTGTAGACTTCCTGCTGGGTTCACTGAACCTTTTGCAAACCCAACTTTCCTTGGTTCACTATACCTAGTGAGCACACAATGCCCTCTTCTACCAGGGCACACACTGTGTGGTTATGTAATAGATAAATCCTATGTTTAGCCATAGTTGTAGATCTATTCGAAATGCAATGGCAATAGATGTGCAATTGTGCCATGTTTGTTGTTAGAATATGTTATACACCCTATTTAAGGCACTTGCATGGGCAGCTTGTGGCCTTTTTGACAGTTCTGATGGGAAGTCACAGACGGAGCTGAGAAGCTCCAGCAAGTGAACCAACAGGATTTGTACTTATATTATAGAAAATGTGGCTTTTATCAAGATTAATGGGTCATACAAAAACAATACTTTCTAGTAATTCTATAGTACATATGCTTTCAAAAACTATATATAGCAGGGGGTTAGTGAGTTTTCAAGTCTCCCCTCCCCTGACTTTCCATCAAGATCAATAACACAAGTATTAGTTCTTCCCCTAATGCCAGGGTGAAAATCAATAGCACAAGTATCAGTACTTCCCTTTATGCCAGGGTGAAGATCAATAACACAACTATCCGTTCCTTCCCTCATGCCATGGTGAAGATCAATAACACAACTATCAGTTCCTCCCCTCATGCCATGGTGAAGATCAATAGCGCAAGTATCAGTCCCTCCCCTTATGCCAGGGTAAAGGTCAATAGCACAAGTATCAGTCCCTACCCTTATGCCAGGGTGAACGTCAATAACACAAGTATCAGCCCCTACCCTTATGCCAGGGTGAAGGTCAATAGCACAAGTATGAGTCCTTCCCCTCTTTCCAGGGTGAAAGTCAATAGCACAGCTATCAGTCCTACCCCTCATTCCAGGGTGAAGGTCAATAGCACAACTACCAGTCCTTCCCATTATGCCAGGATGAAGATCAATAGCACAACTATCAGTCCCTCCCCTTATGCCAGGGTGAAGATCACTAGCACAATTATCAGTCCTTCCAGGGTGAAGATCAATAGCACAACTATCAGTCCTTCCATTCACTCCGTGTTGAAGGTCAATAGCACAACTATCAGTCTCCCCCTTATGCCAAGGTGCTAGGTGTAATCCTGGACTCTGACGTTTCTCTCTGTTACTGTCCAAATCTTGCTGCCTCCAGCTATAATTTCACATTCCCATGTGAATTTGGGAAAATGGAATTACCCCCTTCAATCTGGCCCCCTCTATGCTTACTTTTGGGCAAACGCTTCTTCCCCTCTGCTGATGTACTATCTGCACTAGGTACTGATGTGTAGCACAGCCCTGCGCTCTGTATTCTGAATTTCGCTTGCAAATGGCAAGAAGCACTTCTAAATGAATGCTTGCCATTTGTGAGCGAAATTCAAAATACAGAGGGCAAGAGGCTAAACCTCCCAACTTAAATTGTATAGTAGCTGCATTGTTTCCCCATTATACTGTAAAGCGCTGCACAAACAGTTGGCACTATATAAAACCTAAAAAATAATAATAATAGCATGATTTTTCTTTTGTTGCAGTACCAGCAGCAGCAGACCCAAATACAGCTTTAGTAGCAGAAAGCCCACAGAGATGAAAACCATAACATTTTAATCTAAGATTTGATCAAAAGGATTTTATTGTGAAATCAGTGAAAGTTTCTCATGGCTACTCAGTCTGTGAAATCAGCAGCCACAACAGCGCAGTGACAGTGCTTGTTAGCAGGAAGTGTGCACACGAGTATGGGCAGTGTCCTTCCAGCACTGGAGCCTCTGTCTGACTCTTCTTCCGGGTGAGCTTTCACTTTCTCTTCTTGTTTTCCTCTGCCAGCGATCACTTCCGGAGCAGCGGCCCCCTCCCCTTCCACAGGACTGTGTGGCTGTGAAGCGTCAGACGTTTTCTGAGTGCTGTGTTTTATTGTGGAGGGATCTGGAGGAGACTCAGGAAGGTGAGTACAGTCGTGAGGCGTTTCGCCGCATTCACCCGTCTTCGAATGGATTCCTCTCCCCGCTTTTTTCCTATCTGGGATTGTTGTGATAGTTTTCACACTGCTTTTACCTCACCCTTCTCTAGAAGGGTTATTCGGAGAGCCGGACACTTCGGGCCCCGGGTTAGTGTGTAGTAGAGGGCAGAGGGGTACAGAGGAGTGAGGGGGGCAGCCGTAGGTGGCAGTGTGTGTGAGAGAGGAAGCGGGCTGCTAATGTGGGAGTAGCCATCTTTGTAAGTGTGTCCTCTTCTAATGTGTATGATTATGCAACAGGGAGCGCTGAGCGTGGGCTCCGCAGCCTTCTGTTACGTATGTGACGCTTCCACTTTCTGGGAGCAGGAAGGAGGGGGCGGGCCTTGTTCTGTATTCAGGAGATGGGCCCATAGAGGCAGGACAAGGCCCATGGCTTAGTGCTGTGTCTGGGGATTTAGTGTTAACACTTCGGTGTGGCACTTTAAGTTTTCATTATTTCTTATTGTAGATTTGTACCCCATGCTTTTTTAGTTTGCGCCTGTTGAGAAAGCAAAATTAAATTGGTAGTAAACCTTAAAGCTGAACTCCAGCACACAAACTTTCACTGAAATATATTCCACACTAGTCACAAAGGATAGAAATCCATATGGTATTTGCCAACCCAGATATTTTCTTGTAAAGTTAGCAGTGGCCTTATTACTGGATTGCACATAACCTGATCAGAGCTGTGGGAGGAGCACAGCAGGCCCCACCCACTACTACTGCTTGCTTGCAGAAAAAAGCAAAGGGGGGGGGGGGGGGGGTGAAGAAAAAAATATTGGTACTCAGTACCGAAAAAACAGTATCGATGCACCACAAGTACATATCCCCCATAGAGGTGCCCAGCTACCCATTCACTTTTTTAACTATAGCTTGAAATTAGCCTTTAAAAATGCCAGAAAAATAAGAGCAAGTTTCAACTCCCATAGACTTCAGTAAGATTTGGCAATATGATTGTAGACTTCCTGCTGGGTTCACTGAACCTTTTGCAAACCCAACTTTCCTTGGTTCACTATACCTAGTGAGCACACAATGCCCTCTTCTACCAGGGCACACACTGTGTGGTTATGTAATAGATAAATCCTATGTTTAGCCATAGTTGTAGATCTATTCGAAATGCAATGGCAATAGATGTGCAATTGTGCCATGTTTGTTGTTAGAATATGTTATACACCCTATTTAAGGCACTTGCATGGGCAGCTTGTGGCCTTTTTGACAGTTCTGATGGGAAGTCACAGACGGAGCTGAGAAGCTCCAGCAAGTGAACCAACAGGATTTGTACTTATATTATAGAAAATGTGGCTTTTATCAAGATTAATGGGTCATACAAAAACAATACTTTCTAGTAATTCTATAGTACATATGCTTTCAAAAACTATATATAGCAGGGGGTTAGTGAGTTTTCAAGTCTCCCCTCCCCTGACTTTCCATCAAGATCAATAACACAAGTATTAGTTCTTCCCCTAATGCCAGGGTGAAAATCAATAGCACAAGTATCAGTACTTCCCTTTATGCCAGGGTGAAGATCAATAACACAACTATCCGTTCCTTCCCTCATGCCATGGTGAAGATCAATAACACAACTATCAGTTCCTCCCCTCATGCCATGGTGAAGATCAATAGCGCAAGTATCAGTCCCTCCCCTTATGCCAGGGTAAAGGTCAATAGCACAAGTATCAGTCCCTACCCTTATGCCAGGGTGAACGTCAATAACACAAGTATCAGCCCCTACCCTTATGCCAGGGTGAAGGTCAATAGCACAAGTATGAGTCCTTCCCCTCTTTCCAGGGTGAAAGTCAATAGCACAGCTATCAGTCCTACCCCTCATTCCAGGGTGAAGGTCAATAGCACAACTACCAGTCCT